ATCAAAATATTCAACTGAATACTTAAATTTTAAATTATATATTTTAAAATTTAATTTTAAATTGTTTAAGTTTAAAAATTTAAGTTTACAGTAAAAGATATATCGTCTTCAGTCTCTCTCAGAATGTTCCTGCTTGCTTTGAGCACAGCTATTCCATCATTCTTGGCAATGTATCTTTTACTGTAAAAAGTTTTTCTTTAATTTAAATATTTACCATAGTTTTTGACCACTCCTGTAGATAACCAATACAGTCCCCAACCCCTCCAGGAACACAGAAGGAATTAGGGTGGGGACCATATCACCAAACAACATGGCCTCAGAATAAGGGAAGCATGGCCCCAAAGGAATTCTGGCCCTCAAAATCACATATTCATTATTACATCCAATTTAGTCTCTTTTGACTGAATGTATATGTTTCAAAATTATAAAACAGAAATAATCTTCTGAGAACTTAACCACAAAAGGAAAAAAAAAAAACTTTCATATGAATGCATCAGCCATAGATTTGTACTCACCTGGCTCACAAGAAACTTTGCAAAACTATATTGTATGGTTAATGAAGGGTGCAGACACAGTGTTGACTGTGGTTTTATCTTCTGTTCATCTTGTCAGAGGGGAATTTCTCAGATCAAACTCAAGAGGAATTTTTCTGTTGTTTTAGATTGGCTGCTTTGGAACTTTAGTTTCCATTATTATAGAAATCTTGAAGTTCTGCCTGTTGATAAGGATATTTTCTTTCCCTTCCAAAATAAATGAGAAATTGAATAGTCTAAAAAGAAGCCGAAATACCCAGTATTGTGCATTGGCACTTCAATTTTGAAACTTGGCATTGAGACCTTGATTAAAATTTTTCTTCTAAAATGTCCCTGAGGCAGCAGAATAAAAAAGGAGTAGATTCTGATTTGCTTCTGCTGCTCCAGGATATGTAATACAGTGTACTGAATTCTCATTTACTTCACTTCAGTATCTTCACTTACCGTGCCTGGCTCATGACAAATACAATGGGAAAAATACACTGCTGTAAAGTATTCGGTCACTAGAAAAAGCAAAATTTCAATTAAGTATTAAGAAGGCTTTGGCTTGGAAACAATAATCTACTGGAACCCAAGTCTTCTCCAATAAATGATGAAAGTCACAAAGTAGAGAGAAATTAGGAAATAAGTTGAAAACCAAGGGCATTGAACACCATGGGTACTATTTCTTAGGACTATGGAAAGTGTATGTTAGTTTATGCAGCTAGTACATAAGTATGGCATTTGCTTGACACTATATAGTGTGCGGTTGATTGAGTTTGGGGATAGTTTGGTCTAGTGAGATGTTGAGAGCAACACTGAGGGATTCAGTTAATGTGTTTTCAGATTAATATCTGCTCAATAGGCTACTGGCTACCTGTAATCTTTCCATAAACATTGAGACTACATTTACTGAAAATATTTCTTTATAACCAAGTGGGCACCTTCTTTGAAGATCTGCTTACTTATAACAGGTTTAAAAAGTTCTATCTTGTTTCTGAGCCCCAAAGTTAGTGTCCTGAAGTCTGAAGGCATGGTGAAGATCTAAAAGGATCTCTGGATGGCCATCTCTGAAGGTTCCACCTGAGCTCCATGAGCCTTATTTGTCTTTCTTTGTATATTTCTCTGCCAAAACTTCAAAAGCAAAAAGAAAGAAAGAAAGAAAGAAAGAAAGAAAGAAAGAAAGAAAGAAAGAAAGAAAGAAAGAATGTTTCTTAATTTGCACTGGGCCTGCATTTTCCTAGACAATCAGAATCACACTAGTGCTAATCGGATAGTACTTCTTCAGCTCCAACTCACCCATGCCATGCCTTTCTTTTCTTTCTTTCTTTCTTTCTTTCTTTCTTTCTTTCTTTCTTTCTTTCTTTCTTTCTTTATTTCTTTCATTCATTCATTCTTTCTTTTTTCTTCCTTCCTTCTTTCTTCTCTCTCTCTCTTTTTCTTTCCTTTTTTTTTCTTTCTTTCAAGTCTGACTCCTCTAAGTCCTCCCAAGTAGCAGAGAAGGTTCTGTGTATATCAACTAAGTGTCGGAATGTGGCTTTCAACAGAGCACCATTCCTCCCTGTGTGTACTACTGTACCCCCCAGATCCCTCTCCCTTGCTTTGGAGGTGCTGCCTCAGTGCAGAAGGGGGCTGGCCCACCTGACTTTAGCCCTTGCCATGTCTCAGAGCCATCTTGGCCTCTGACTCATGCCCAGCAGTGCCCTCACCAATATGCTGCTATATTGGGCTATACTTCCTGCTTCATCAAGCTTTTACCCAAGTAGGAAAAAGGCTTCTGGCTTTTGTACTTTCACCACTTCATCTCCCCACATGGTCTGGGAGATTCAGTAAAAGAGCAAAGTCCAAAAGCAATAATTGAGCTCACTCTGATATCGACCTCCTTTCCTGCAAATATGTTGGTGCAAAGAACTATTTCTGCCCTTAGAGTGAGTCTTGCCAGCCCCACTGGCCATGAGCTGTGTTTGAAAACTTAGCATGGGTAGTTTGAGCCTCAAAATGAGACAACACAGTTCTCACATCACGAGATAATTATAGCTCAGCGGCATAAGCGCTTGCCTGGCAAGCCTGAGGTCATGAGTTTGATTGCTGGCACCCGCCCGCCCCCCCCCAAAAGAGATAATCACAGCAGAGTGTACTGGCATCACCCATTCTGGGAGGCTGAAGCAGGAAGATCACAAGTTCAAGCCCTGACTGGAAAATTAGTGAGACTCTGCCTCTAAGTAAAAAATAAAAAAGGACTGGGGTTGTAGCTCAGTGTAAAGGCTAAGGATTCAATCCCCAGCGTATGTGTCAGGTGTGGTGAATTAGTACTGAGCTCACAGTGTGAAACATATTGTTGCACTGGATTCAAAACAACACTGTACTACTATTACTAAAAGAAAGTTCAAACAATTATTAACATTGAATATGGGGTGTGAACAAATTATATTAATCAGCTTTGCATTACTGTATCAAAATCCCTGAGGTGTTCACCTTTAAAAAAAGAAAGATTTAGTTTGGCTCCTAGGTTCAGAGGTTCCAGAGCTTCATCAATTGGTCAGTCATGCCATGACCTGTGCAGGGAGCGGTGTCCTGAGAGAGGGCACAGGAGATGACAAAGAAACCATACACAGAAAAGGAAGCTGGGACCAGGTGGGACTGATCTCTCCGATGGAGAGGCAGCGACAACCTAGCGTGGTCTGCCTCTTTATTTATACATGGTGAAAAATAGGGGAGAGTTTGCAGCGGGGCCAAATGTGCAAGGTCTCAGTGTTTTGCTGAAAACCCTGAAAGCAAAACATTCTCAGAAGTATCTGTGCTGTAGTTAACATGGAGGAACACCAAGGCCAGACACCTGCTAGACTGGCCCTGCTCTAGTCCCAACAACTTGTTTACGTGGCTCACCCTGGGTCAGCCGCCGCTCTACCACTCTCCACAAGTTTTTTTGGACTGGTGGCCAGGACTACACATGGAGTATGGAGTGCATTGTACAGCTCATTTGTAGCAGCTAGGAAGCAAAAAGAAAAGGAGGAGGGGTTGGAGCCCTAATGTCTGCTTCAAGGGCCACCCCTCAGTGACCTAACTTCCTCTCACCAGGCCACACTTTCCAAAGGTTCTACCACCTCCCAACAGCATTACAGCTGAGGATCAGGCCTTCAGTACATGGGCCTTTGGGGGGACACTCAAAACCCAAACTATACCACGACCCAATTGAGAATGTAATATGCTTTACTATGAATATATCTCAGTGAAATTTCACTTTAAAGTCTTTTAGCTTGCAATGAAGAATCAAACTCTAAAATCAAGCCATCACTTAGGAATTGTGTTGAATTTCCAGGTCAATGAATCTCTCAGAACCTCAGTTTCCTCATTTGCAAGATGGGGATAACATAGCCATCACCTCATTGGGGTGTCATTAGCATTTGATAAAGTAATGGTACTGGAGACAAAGGAAGCAACTGGCTGAGCTTCTGCCATTATGTGTGTGGTATGCACCAAGATTTCTTTATATTATAATGCAGATATTCAAAAGCATTTCCATAGCCCTATTAGACAGTGTTGAAAGCATCTATGCAAAGGCTGGTTGCTGTTTTAAAAAACTCGCCTCAAATCTTGATTAAGAGTAAGATTTCTAATTCCTTCTATTATGTATATAGCATGAAGTTCTCTCAGATAAATAGCATCCCTTTGTATAAACAGATTCCTAGCTTTTTCTGCAGCCCAAGACGGCTGTCCTCTCAAATTCTTCTGATAATGTGCTGATTTGTTCCAGAATGAACCCGGGCTACATTTGCAATTCACACAAGATTATTACCAGGCAGTTGGAGGGGTCAAATTCTCACAGCCAATTTTCTATAAAAAAAAATCCCAAGTAATTGAAATGGGAGGAAGGTACCCAGTAAAAGTCAGGATGAATAATTTAGCACACTAGCTGCCTACAGTCTCTGAGGCAACACATTCAAGGCATTTTATTAGAGGGTTGACTAAGCTGCTCTGGTCTCCAAAGCATCCTGGCTTCAGCCCACCCATCTCCTGGAGAACAAGAAGTGGGGCTAAATGAGCAGGCAGAGATATCTATTATTAACTCTTCTGTGATATCTGAGCGACCCTGTGAATATTCTTCCATTGCATACTTTTTTTCTGAATGTGAACAGTGATGTTTTACTTGATAGCTTTCTAAAGGTCCCTATTGAGAAACATCATGGCTAGCCACGGTGGTCCCCAAATAAGAGTGCTGTGCCCTCTCCCCTGCTCTGTAGATTCCTTCAAGGGGTAGACCCACCTGCTAGGATAGGGGTAAGCTCTTATTATTTTGGAAATCTACACTTAGACCCTGATTAAGTGTGATGTTTTAAATTTCCCCACTACTATATCATGAGAACAAAACTCTCACAAATAAATACCCTGTGCTTCTAGCCAGGACTAGCTGGAATATGGAGATACAAATGGCCAAGACCCAACTTTGGTGAGATTCAGGAAAAAATTATATTGATTAATGATTCAGGGATGAATGCAAAGTTACTCACACACTCACAAGATTGGATGAAGGTCTATATCACAATGATGTCCTCTGTGTGTGACAGCTGGAAATCAATGACTCAGGTCAGAGTGTCTGGATCTCCGGGTCCCTAGGGTCAGATCCATAAAATCAGGCATCTAATACCAGAGAAGAAGAGTTGGGTGAAATTATGTGATGAGCCGTCAAATCAAAATGAGAGGTTTGGGAAGCTCTGTGGGCTGCTCATTACCTACATGCTCACTGCAACCATTTAAACGGCTTATTGGTTGTATAAACCCAATGGCCAAGTGTTTCGTTATGGGCTGAATTGGACCACCCCCTCCAAGTCACAATGTGAATGTATTTGGAGGTACAATCTATCTTGAAAGCTGTGATTAAGGTGAAATAAGGTCATAAGAAGGGAGCCCTTTCCAATTTGAGTGGATACCAGAGGTGCATGCTTGGAGGAGAATGGTTATATGAAGACGCAGCAGGAAGATAGTAATCTGCAAGCCAAGGAGAGAGGACCAAGAAAAAACTAACGCTGTTAACATCTTGCTTGTGGACTGTCAGCTTCCAGAGCTGAGAGAAATGAAATTTCTACTGTGGAGGACGTGCAGTCTGTGGTATTTTGTTATGGCAATTTAATACACGAAGCAAAGTCTAGCTCTTCATTTTCTGCCTGCCTTGTCTTCCACCCCAACACCTCTGTTGTTGTGTTGGGTATTTCTGTTCTTATGCACCTGTTCTCTACTTTGTTCTCTGTCTGGAAAGCTGGATGGGCTACAGCAATTGGCTCTTCTACCCTCTGCCTTCTGGTTGGGTTTAGCCAGGAGGAACGCACTCCAGACCCCTGAAAACAGAGAGGAAGAAAACATGACATCAGTGTACATCTCCTCCAACTCCTTTCCTGCATGGTCCCTCAGGCTGACTGTGCCTTCAGCTGAAGATTACATCTCCCCTCAACTATGTGAAACCTGGTTCTGGTAGCTCTTTCTTGTCCCAAGACCTCAGCTCAGGGGCGGGTGGCAGCTCTGCTGATACCAGCCCTGGTCTATCGTACTATCTCCTGTGCCTTCTATACCCACACTCTTGCCAAGAGTCACTCTGTAAACAAACCCTGACCAAATCATCACAGTTTGCCTTGTGACTCCTCTTTCCTGACTAATAAACCTCTCTATGAAACAGATGGAAAAAAATGAAGGTCAAACCTTCTCTCCTCTACCTGGAAGAAAAATCACAAGAAGGTGCAAGGTGTATAGACAGTGCACATCAAATGAGAGTTTTTAATGTGCCCTATTTAATCATAAGTCACTTCCTTAAACAATACAGTAATTTTTATATCCTTTGGGGGGTCATTTTTCATCTTGGCCTTCTAATTATATCTTGGAATCTTTAAGGCTATTTGCCAGTGTCAGTTTATTAACTGAAACATGTCTATGCCTGATAATTTTGACTGATCAGGATTATTACCTGCACCACAACCAACGTGTCATGGTTTCTGGCTTTTTTTCAAAGCTTAATAAAGGTATTTTCAGCTAAGAATTTTACTTTTCAAATACTGAATTTATTATACTTATGTTTTGCTTATAGAAAAGGATCATTAAGACTTCATCTCCTTTATTAACCATATAAAGGATATGCCTTTTCAGTAACTGATTACTTTATCACAAGTATTTCACTGTATAACTGGGGGTGGGCGTCTAAGTCTGGTGTATCCAGTCCTAAAATCTTCTGTATAGTGGTATTTAGTCTCCTAGGGAAACAATAAAAAGTTTGAACATTTAGAGTTCTCATTCCTTTTGCCAGTAACCTCTACATCTTCTGGTACCAATTTTACATTCAGTAACTCCAAAGGAAAACCGCCCATTATTTAATGGCTACTGTTTCCCCAGTGCTCTATATTATTTATTTTATCCTCAAAGCAATGCTAGGATAGCAGACCTAATGATCACATTTTGATAGTCAAGGAGATAGGCTTGGGAAGGTGATCTAGTCTGACACACTCGTGAAATAGCAAAGGATGCGAGGGTCTCAGTAATTCCAAAGTCAATGACTGGGCATTTGAGCTCTGCTGTTGGCTGCTTTGGTTCACCTGCTCACTTCTCAGCACGACCTGATTCTAGAGTGCTAACCCCAAAATGCTAATCCCTTGTGATCTGCTACTCTCTCCGAGTTAGACTTCACCTCCTCCAGCATTTGCTACCTGGCCAACCTGAGTCAGCTGTGGGACACAGCTACTGACGGACTAATAGATGAGAATGTGAACAAATGCTCTCCAGAATTCACTTGGTAAAACAGCGATATTTTGTCTCCTAAGCTAGAATTTCTTTTTCTTGAAAATTGAAACCATATTGTCTGTGTCTTTGGCAATCCCACCCCCTTTCCCCACAATCTCAGTTTTCAGCTACATATAGGACACTCTCACAATGCCACTAATGACCTGGAGAATAAAGTAAAACTGGAAATGACAGGAAGTTTGGCTCATGAAGGGGAAGTACATCATATCTCTCTGCTTTTTAAAGACACATTTTCTAGAGAATAACAAAAAGCCCATTTTGCTTTGTTATTTCCCTGAGGAAGCAGATAGGGGATATAAGAACCACTTGCAGAGTGATTTAGTGCTCTGTTCTCTGTTCTGTAATGCCTTCATGGATCTTAAAGGAAAGAACTGTTTGGGTAGGAATTCATCTCCCAGAGGCTCTATCTGTGCTGAGGTGGGAAGACAAGGGCTTGCTGCTTCCTGGGAAATTTACAGAGAGACAGAACACTGCATGTGTGTTTGCCTCACCACTGAATGTTTTAGTTAAGAGGCTTTGGTGAGTTACTCTCAGTCTAGGCCTCAGTGTTTATATCTCAAAATGAAGACATCTCTTTTATGTCTAAGGAGCTCAGGTGAAAAAAAGCTGAATCTGCCACTCGTAGATAAATTCAGCTTGATGTGATCTGAGGGACCCTGCAGAAACTTCCCTCTCCATAAATATTTCCCGCTGGTTTGTCCTCAAACAGGAAAAGAACTCCACAATTTCGTATATCTGCGTTTAGGGAAAGGTAGGCTAAACTATAAGTATCTTATCTAGGAAGGTGTAATGACTATTTTGCCTTTAAAATGCACATTTCCCCCTTCATTTTAATATTTCTGAAATCAAGATGTGTTTTTACCATCAATGTGGATAGTTAGCATCATACTTCTTGTTACCCCTAGATAATTAAATTGTTATTAAATTGATAAAGACCACATAAAAAGCTTGTTAAATATAATTAAATTGTTATTAAATTGATAAAGACCACATAAAAAGCTTGTTATAATATATAAGTTCTTTTCCTGTTTGAGGACAAACCTGGGGCCCAAAAGAACAAGTGCCAAGTAAAGAGGTCTGGAAGGTAATCAGGAACTCACATTTCAAACTGGCACCCCAGATGACTCTGAGAAGGTGGCCTTGCTTTAAGAGCCCACAAGTCAGGATTTTTTAGGGTGCTGGAACTATGGTGTTTACAGACATTAGTAGTGTGACTTTGTAGGATGTGCCCTATAGAGGACAGTCAGATTTTCAGCATTAAATCTCCAATTCAGAATCGGACACAGGAGAGAGCAGTACCACATTAAGGATGGTAGTCACTGGTCTTTTTTCCTGAATCTGGTCATGCTGTATCATATTCTCTAAAACGCTGCTATTTTGACATATAAACTCTCCCAAGTGCCTTTCACTTTCACAGATACACAAATTCAGTTAAGTTCCTCTCCATTCTCTGAGTAGGTCTTAAAACTTGACTAGGGCCAGATAGCTCACGTGCAGATGGTAGCTTAGGAGAAATTATTAGGTCATGACCTGAAGCTACTCTTCTCTATAAAGGTGTTATAGGTTATGAACAAAGTGAGCTGTTGGCCAGATTCTGCTCCACAGACACTATCTAAATATTTAAATAGCAATAATAGCTGTTCATATGATCCTGCATGCAAGATTCTCTCACAAGAGTTCCCAGGATTCAAGGGGCATGATTCTGTCACCTGTATAACCAGAATGGGGCATCCAGAATCTTTCAGAGTTCACAGCCGGACACAAGATCAGATGGAGCCATCATTCTAAAGGTGCCGACTATAATTCTAGCTGGATACTTATTCATGCAAGAGTGGAGATTTTCTGAACCACAGTATTTTAACTAAACCGCTTATCTCCAATATCTGTATTAACCAAGGAGACCCCATTTCTAAATTTCATTGTGTTAATCAACATGCCACTAATGTCATCAATAAAAAATTTTAACATTAACTATGCTAATTGTTAGGTCTCTATATGAATAACAGAAATGCTTTGCCTCTGGATTGTAAATTCTTGGTTAGAGTCTAGAAAAATTTGGTGTAGAGTCTCAAACTAGATGGTATATACTATGCAGCTCTTTGGAACACTTATGGGAATGCTTACTCTTATAGAATGAATGAGTGCTTGGTTCGAGAATCACAAAGTTAGCTGAGCACTTTAAATTTATCGTAATTTTGGTTTTGGATTGGGGAGCAGGGCTAGAATTGTAGACAACAAAGTGCCTTGTAGATCCTGGTCAGGAATGTGTTGTTTGCCTGCTAGGCATGTAGGAATGAGAAAAAAACCCTATGCTGACTCAAATTGTATCTCAGAAAATGGCTCACTCTCCCTGACCAGCATAGATTCAAGCAGTTTCAGGTTTTTTTCCCCAAACTTTCTATCTGAAATTACAGAGCCCTAACATCCACTCCACCCATACATTTTTTCCCCCATGAAAACCAAGGCAGAATGACCATGGTCCATAGAATAGTTATGGTTGAATGATTTGGACAGGTTTCTAAATCTTGCTGATCCTCACATTCCTCATCTGTGAAATGGGAATAATTATACCTCCTTCTTAGAGTGGTTGTTATTGAGCTGGGCGTGGTGGGCACACCTATAATCCCAGCACTCAGGAGGCTGAAGCAGGAGGATCGTTGCGAGTTTAAGAGCAGCCTGGGCTACAAAGAGAGCTCAAGGCCAGCCTGAACTGCATAACAAGACCCTGTCTCAAAAAAGACAAAAAAAAAAAAAAGTGGTTGTTATGAAGATTATTAATGTATAAGAAAGTGCCTGCTATATAGTAGATATTTGACTAATTTTATTTTTAGTGTCTATGTCTTTTAAATCTATAATTTTTCCTTATTTTTGAGCTGAGGATACAATCTATATTATATAAGTACTACTTTATCTCATGATAGCTAGAGATTACTAATCACTGATTTTGTGCCATAAATCTTACCCTAACCCTTTTGAAGTCTGGAAGTTCAGTTCTGAGGCTTCTGATTCTAACAAAACTTCACAAACCACTCTTACCTGCCTGCTGTTCTTATCAGGCTGGGCTTTCTTTTCTGCTTCCAGCACGGTGTTGTTTTCTGCTTCTACTCCCATAACCAACAAAAGAATTGCAAATTACAGCTCTAAGCTTTTCCTATCCCATTTGTGTCCACCCCTCTATGCAATAGCTTCATGCCTGTGAGAACCCACGATGGCCAGTACCGGAGCTCCCTCCTATCTTGTGAGAACAATTGAACTTCAACACTTGAGGCAACTTTTCCTGCAGGAGAAGCAACTCACTTGCTAAAAAACTTCATTAGCTGTAATGGGATTTTCAGTGGCAACCTCTTAGAGAAAGATCACCAGTGTACTTGTATTTCATATGGCCCCTTCCTTCAAAAAACCAAATGTGGATTCTTAAAAGAGGGCTTTACCCTGTTCCTTTTCTGACTGAGTAAAACAATCCTAATAGATTTTAAATGGCAACATCCTGCTTTCCTCAAAGTGTCATTAATCCAGGGCAGCAAGCTGTGGGTACTAGCATTTTAGATCAAATTTAAGTTCCTCAAGGTGGTAATCTACCTAACTTGCCACTGGCCTGAGATCTCCCAGTTATCACACACAGCCACATTACACACTATCCTCACCTACCTTTGCAGGCATCTGAGTAACCCCTTTCCCTCCTGGGGTCTGACCATGAGAGCCATTGTCATATTGCAGGCAGCTAATCAGTGATCCAGTTACTTGGCAAGCCAGGAACATTTAACAGGTGATAGGATGAAAGTTTTAATGTGAGGGTGGGATGAGAAAAGGTCTGCTCATATGTCTAGGTTAGATGCCCTGAAGTACAGAATGTAGTACTCCTGAGAGATGCTACTGGACAAAGTTCCATTGAGAGAAATGTCATTGTTGGTTGCTTCCTATCACTATTCCCAGAATCAGTGTTTGCCCCTGGTAAAAGCAATAACAGAGACAGCTTTCGTCATGGTTCCCCAGGCAGTGGAGAGCAAAGAAGGACCTGTGGCTACAGAAATCAGAGGTACAATTTCTTCCAGCCTTGAAATTGATTTGTTTTTTTCTTGTGTTCAAAATAAATATAAACCCTAGGGCATTTGCTGACAAGGTCCAGATATTACCATCCCAGGTCCCTAGAGGAAAAATGAGGAGAAGATCTGCTCTTCAATTTCTCCTCTGCCGAGGCCATAACCTGAGGGTCTTTATTAGGAATTGTATAATAGTAACAATAAGTAATGATTAGCAGGATAAGTGCAACCAGGCTCCTCGTTTACAGGAGCTGCCAGGTGATGAGTACCTCTGATCAAAGTTTTCATGACTCTGTGTCCCACAGTATGTGAGCCTGACCTCAGCATTGCAATCTCCCAGTTAGGCTTTTTTCCACAGTATCATCTCTTCCTTCTACTGTTTCCCCAATCCCCTTCTCCTTTAACCAAGTGAAGGCTTATCATAGTGGGGTTTCTGCATTTAGGAGGAGACAAAATGCAGGAGACAAAATGATGGTGGACCAGAGGCAACCTATGCTCACCAATGGTTCTATGTTCATGCAGAATCCTTTAGGTATGTGACCCTGTGAGAATGAGGCAGATGATTAGGGTGTGGCAAACTGGCTGAGCAACTGGGCATGTCCTATCAATAATGGAGATCCAAGAAATGCATAGAAAAACTGTTCCAAAAGCCCTGCACGTGGGACAAAAATGAGAATGTTATCTTCAGTTCTTCTCACAAGAACTCAAGCAGGTTTTGATGAGAGCTTAGACCTGATGTCAGCCTGAGGGATGGGAGATACAAAAGATGGCTGCCACTGAGCTCTCAGACACTATGTTCTCTCTTGCACAGTGGTCCCCTCTCACCCTATGGAAGGTTCTTCTTTTCCTACATTTAATTGACTCCTACTAGCTCTGCAGAGTATGTTTCTTTACCTACCTTTAGTAAATGCAAAACCTTGCTACTTTTTCACTTGTCTTAACCAATTCTTTGTTCAAGACAGAAAGAACCTAGAAAACTCCTTTAATAGGAGACACCTGAATCTGGTAACAAGAAGATTAGGTTACACCAGGAATGACAGGACTATATCTTGAAAGAACTAGAAACCAAACAAAATCCAGAAATACTAGTAACCAGAAAGATAAATAAAATAACTTTAACAATGCATTCTGGTGCCAAAGGACTGAGTGGTCATGGCTCAGAGGAATAAGAGACCTTTTCCTCTGGTGGAGTGGTAATAGGAAAGACACTGACGTTTGTGAACACTGGATCAGCAGCAGAGAAGAAATACAGCTAGGGAAGATAGATGATCTAACTATGGCCAAGTGAATAGAAACAGGGGTGATAATTTCCATCTTATCCCTCCAGATCTAGACAAGGTTGGACCAGGATGCCATTTTAGAAGCTCCCTCCCTCAGTAGAGAAAGGAGGAACTGAACCTGAGCAGAATTGGAGCTGGAAGGAAGCCATGTTGAGTAACTTCCTCCAAATAGGTACAGAACATTTCTACATTTTTGGTTAACAATCACTGGGGGACGGGAGGAAGTGGCTACCAGTCCTAATAGAGTAGGCCTTGGAAAGGGTGACTGTGGTTTAGTAAAATGAAAATCATCAGAGCAAGAGAGAGACCCAAAACCCCAACTCTCAAGGGAGCCAACTCTGGGCTGGGACACCATGGTTCTGAGGGACAGAGTGAAACAGCGGCAGTCTGAGCATAGCAGCATATAATAAGTGCAGCCGTGGGGACTTTTGTGGTGGGAAGGGGTCTGACGTGGGGTAGCTCCTCCAGGGACCAATGGAGGGCTGGGTATTACTAGCCTTTAACACATGACCCTTCCCCACTCTGATCTACTTGGAGGTACTCTGAGTGAAGATAGTGGCATAGCAACTGACCAGCCACACTTTCAGAAGCACAGACTGGAATTCTGTGAAGCATTGGCCTACCCCTGCAGATCTGCCTGCAGATGGTAAGGAGCAGACTTGTTAGACTCTTTTGATCCTCTCACCTACTCACTCTCTTGTACAGAAGAGCTTAAGTCAGTTGCAAGATATTAATTTAGCCACTGGCTGACCTATCGAAGTTTCCAGCCACAACCACAGAGGAATGGAACTCAGCCCCTAGATAGCTCTATGTGGCCTCTCCTAAATGAACTGAGGCTGAAGAATAATTTCACCTAATTTAGACTGCAGTATAAATACTATTATAGAGAAGAATATTTAATTATGTTTTTTTTATTCTTTTTTTCTTGGTGCTTCCTTTTGAAAGAACTCGTGGGGGTATATGGGTACTTGTAGCAGCTTATGAGTCTGGTTATTGTTTTTACTTCTATAGTATTTTACTCATGTCACATTAGGTTCTCCCACACTGTTTTAGCTTGTATCTAGAATGCCCCACCCCCAAAGCCTCATGTGCTCATAGGTGGGGCTTTTCAGAGTTGGCAGGATCTAGGGTGTGTGATACTGGGATTAAGAGTGGGTGGTACTAAATGTCTTGGTTATTTTTCTCTCATTGCTGAGACAAAATACCTGACCCTCAGAAGTAAGGAAGAAAAGCTTTATTTAGCTCACAGTTTGTGGAGGTTTCAGTCCATTTTTGGCTGGCTCCAAGGCAGAATGGCACATGGCAGAGGGCAACAGTTCATGGTGGCAGAAGACAGCAAAAGCAACAAGAGCAAAAAGGGAGGAGCAGTGCAAGCCTCTTTCCCTCCCTTGTATCACATACAGGCTACCCACTCCAGAGTGAGTGTAGCGCTCACTCCTATAATCCTAGCATTGGACCATGAAGCAATCAAAAATTCTACAAGCCTGCCCCATGACTTCATGAGACTTTGAGGGGACATCTAGACACAAACTATAACACTAAATTAGTCCACTGATTGTAGTTAGCATAGTTATGTGCTGGATAATATAAGCCCAACCCTGGGTGTGGGTGACATCAATCAAAAGGCTTACAGCCTGGAAGGAATATAATGGGAGAGAGAGAAGGTAGGCTTACTGCTGCTGCTTGCTGCTGCTATTTTCTGTCTGCCACACCATGAACTATTTCTCTTCTACAGTGCCCCTTTACCATGCCACCTTGCTTTGGAGCCAGCTAATTATGGACTGAAACTTCTACAACATGTGAACTGAAATAAACCTTTCCTCTCTTAACTTTGGATGTCAGACATTTTGTCCTAGCAATGAAAAAAATAACTAAGGCATACACCAAGGTTTGTTTCATAGAGTAGACTGAATTAGAGTTTCTGTCAGGTCATTAATTCCACTCAATGTTCATGTATCTCTGTCATTGTCCATTTAGAACTCCTTTCCCCCTCTTCTCTTTCTTTACTTTCCTTCTCACATCCCCTCAAATTTCCACTCCTTCTCCTTTTCTGGTATATAAATATTATCATTAAAGCTTATTTTTCCTCTCTTTGTCTTTTAGAATCTATATGCAGGTCATATGTGTATATACAACTGTGTATGAGCATTGATTACTGTTTTTGTTAATAGTGTTTTACATTGTTAGGCTCTCCTCATCAGACGTTATTTATTTAATAAGTTTTCTAACACTGGGTGTCTTGGTTACTTTTCTCTGGTTGCTGAGACAAAGTACCCAACGCCCAAAATGAAGGAAGGAAAGGTTTATTTAGCTTACAGTTTGTGGAGGTTTCAGTCCATACTTGGCTGGCTCTGAGGCAGAAGGTAGCAAAGCAACAAGAGCAAAGGGTGGAATGGCAGCTGAACAACAATGCAGCCAGAGCAAAAGGGAGGAATGGCGACAAGTAGCTTCTTTCCCTCCCTTATTTTGTAAACAGGCTACCCCCACCTAAAGGGCGTGTAGCTCTCACATAATCTCCATCCCTCCTCTTCCACAGGCTCAGGATGTATACAAAGTAAGCGCTCTGGCTTCCTGCTGAGTCACTTAGCCAAACCTCTAGACTCCCCAAGTTGACACAATGTATCAACCATAATACTGAGTTTCTGCTAGTTTGTTAAATGCATCCAAACTGCATAAAACCTTTCACACTTTCCATTTATATTTCCTTCTCTTTTCTTCTGTCTTTCCAGACCCACACATGACTGTCTCTCTCTCCCTCTCCCTCCTTTCTAAACATAAAAGTATATACCATCAAACCTCTTTTGTGCTTCTTCTGCCTTTTTAAATTTCTTTTTTTCTTTCCTTTATTCTTAATTTTTTTCTTTTCTGTCCTATTTCCAAGCCTATTCTTCATCATTGCTAGTCTTCATCTTCCTGGTTTAGGTTTTTAAAGAAATTTAAAATTGTGTGATGATACAATATTAATTCTTTGGATGTTGATTTTACCTGTAGTTGTTCTCTTCTTGCAGAAGAGCTAGGAAATGATCCTAGTACTTTGAACAGGTTCATTAGGTACTAGCATGTTGAATCACACTCAAAGCCAAGGGAACATCATAGGGAGAAATGTATTTCCTAAAGAGATCTTCACAATTGTGACAGAGCTCTTCTAGTGACCTACAACATTCAATACAAAAACATAAGTATCATGAGAAAACAAGGCAACAAAATATCTCAAAAATCTCATAATTCCCCCAAAGTCGATCTCACAGACACTAAAGACAGTGAAATTCCAGACAAAGAACTCAAAAACTCAAAGATTAACATGATCAGAGATCAAAGAATTGCAGCTGAATGAATTAATTACTAAAATGATTAGTGTGCTGAAAGAAGATAAAAAATAAGGCAGCTGAATAAATTAGGGAAGACCGTGCAGGGTGTAAAAGACCATTTCAGTAAAGAATTAGAAGTTATGAAAAGGAGCCAAACAGATATACTGGAAATGAAAAACTCAATTGAAAGTTCCAGCAGTAAGCGGGTCAAACTGAAGAAGAGCTGTCAGGACTTGGGGACAAGGTCAATATAGTAGAACATCTACTCAGAAATAATGAAGAAACAAGAGATAGTCAAGATTATCCAAGAGTTCTTCCTAAAAGAACAAACTTAAGGTTCATGAGTTTTGAGGAAGGGGTACAGGTAGAGATTCATTATATAAAAATTTATTCCCTGAAATTATTGTAGGACACTCCTCAAATCTAGAGACTGATGTATATCCAAGTAAAGGAGGTGTTTAGAACATCAAATAGACATGATCAGAAAAGAACATCTTCACAACATTGTCGTAGTTAAGAACCTCTTCACAACACATCGTAGTTAATATGACCAAAATACCCAGCTGCCTATATGAGGAGTACAGTGAAAGGATAAAATAAGAAACCAAGACAGATTTAGTAATGCATGAGGAGAGGCTGGGAAGTCAATGCTTCAGAATGGGGAAAGACAAAGGCACTGAGCTAGCCGCTATTTATTGGATGTATACAATAATCAGAGTGATTATGGGATGATGCAGTGTATGAACTGAAACCTCCACAAACTGAACTAAATAAAACTTTCCTTCCTTAATTCTGAACATCAGGCATTTTGACTCAGCAGCAAGAGTAAAGTAACCAAGACACAATTTTAACAAAGCAGTAGTCTACAAAATCAACAAACAACAATCAATAGTGCTCTTGTACACCAGTAATGAACCCACTGAGAAAGAAATTGAGAAGATAGCACCATTCACAATAGCTTCAAAAAACATATATAATACCAAAGGATCAACCCAACAAAGGAGTTTAAAAACCTCTGTAATGAAAGCCACAGAATTCTGGAGAAAGAAACTGAAGAGACTATAACAGCCAGGCATGGTGGCATACACCTGTAATCCTAGCACTCAGGAGGCTGAGGCAGGAGGAGTTCTGTGAGTTCGTGGCCAGCCTACACTATATAACAAGACCTGTCTCAAAATAAATAAATAGATAAATAAATAAATAAATAAATTTTTAAAAGTGGGAAGACATTTCCTGTTCCTAGGTGGCAAAATTAGCATTAAAATGGCCATATTACCAAAAGCAATCTATAGATTTAATATAATCCCTATTAAAATGCCAGCAACAACTTTCACAGAACTAGAAAGGAATAATCCTAAAAGTTACATAGAACTAGAAGAGATTCAGAACAGTCAAAGAAATTATGACCAAAAAGAGTAAAAGGGAAGGCATCACAATTTCAGACTTTAGGTTATACTACAAACCTAGATTAACAAAAACAGCATAGCGCAGGACCCAAAACAAACACATAGACCAGAAGAAAAGAACAGAAGACACAGAAACAATCCTATGTATCTTCAGCCATCTGATTTTTTACAAAGGAGCCAAAAATATACACTGGAAAAAAGATAGCCTCGTCAACACAGCGTGCTAAGAAAACTGGTTATTCATGTGCAGAGGATTGAAACTAGGACTATATCTTTTACACTGTACTAAAATCAAATCAAGGTGGATTAAAGATACAAAAGCGGAGACACTGAATCTGTTTTGGTAAAACTCTTGAGTCTTCAAGGCACACACAAGGATTTCATGAACACAACTCCAACAGCATAAGAAATAATATCAAGAATCAACAAATCGGGTTACATCAAATTAAAAAGCTTCTGCTCAGCAAAGGAAATGACCAACAGAATGAAGAGACAACCAGACGGGAAAAAAAATTTTGCCACTAATCTTCTGATAAAGGGCTAATATCTAGAATACATGAAGAACTAAAAATATTATGCACCCCCAGAAAATCCAAACAATGGGCAAATTAACTGTAGACACCTCTCAAAATAAGAACACATGGCCTATAAGTGTATAAAAAAATGTTCATCTTTAGCCATTAGAGAAATGCAAATCAAAACAAGTCTGAGAGTCCATCTTACCCCAGTTTCTATTAATGAAAAAACACAAAAAGCACCAAATGCTGGCAACAATGTAGAGAAAAAGGAGCCCTTCTGCATTGTTTGTGGGAATGTAAACTAGGACAACCACTATGAAAAATCAGTGTGGAGATTCCTCAAAACAACTAAAAATAGAAATTCCATCTGACTCAGTCATATCCCTCCTGGGTATATTCTCAAGAGTCACAGATACTGAATGTAGTGGTACATGCATACCAAAAGGAATATAATTTAGGTATCACATACACTAACAAAAAAATTAAGAATAAAGGGTAGTATTTTTAAAAATTATGTATGGATGGAGTGTATTGTTACATAACAATGCAAATTACTTAATTTCTCTGACTATACACTTAAAATGGTTAAGATGATAAATTTTATGTACATATTGCCACAATTTGAAAAGTAAATACTTTTTTAAATTTTATTTTAAAGAGAGTAGTACATGAGAAACAAACAAAAAAATAGAACAGTAGCAGCATACCAATATCACAAGCATAAACAAATCAAAGCAAAAATATTCAAAGTGATACAGGGTCTCAAGGCAAATTAATACAAATCAACAGTGGTTGTTACATTGCATAGTGCTATCCTCAACTACATTGCTCAGATTCTCAGATGCAAGAAAGAAAGATTAGGGGCTGGGGATTTAGCTCAGCGGCACAGCGCCTGCCTGGCAAGCGCGAGGTCGTGAGTTTGGTTCCCAGTACCAGAAAAAAACAAAAAAACAAAAGCAAAAACAAAAAAAAGAATGAAAGATTGCTCAAACCATTAAAGAGAATAAGAAAATAATTCTTCAAGAAAACCTTAGAGATAATATAGGGTTTCCCTAGACAAGATGGTAGGAGTTCACCATTGTAATTCCATCGCATATTGTTACCTTCCAATCAGTTGCTCAGACCACCAGACACAAGCATGCAAAGTCTATCAGAACATAAAAAACTGTGAGCATTAACTGTTCATTTCAATACACCATCAGACAACAACAATAGAGTCATCGCAGCTATTCATATACATATTTATGTTTTGCCTTCTTTCTTTTTTCTTCTTTCCCTCCTCCCAGTCGTTCCTTCCTTTGAGGAATTTCTTTCCCCTTCCTATCATCTATTGTACTTTTTGAGATTTACCTAGTCTTTCAGGTTCCTACACCAAGGAGACAATATGATGTTTACACATGTGGGTCTGATTTATTTCACTTATAAGTGTGGTCTCTAGTTGTATCCATTTACCTACAAAAGCCTCGAGTTTATCTTTTTTAATAGTTAAGTAATACTTCATTATATAAAAATATCACATCTTTTTTATCCATTCCTCAGTGGATGGGCATCTGGGTTGTCTCCAAGATTTAACTGCAACAAATTGTGCTGCTATAAACATGGGTGCACATATATCGTATGATGTCTTCAATTCTTCTGGGAAAATACTCAGAAGGGAAATAGCTGGGTTAAATAGGATTTCTAATCCTAGTTTTGTGAGGCATCTCCAAATTGATTTCCACAGTGGTTTCACCAATCTACACTCCCACCAGCAGTGGAGTAGGGTTCCTTTCTCCCCACAGCCTCTCCAGCATTTGTTATTGATTGAATTCTTGATGATAGCCACTCTTTCTGGGGTGAGATGGAATCTCAGTGTTGTTTTAATTTGCATTTCTCGAATGACTAATGATGTTGAACATTTTTTCATGTATTTATTTGCCATTAGTACCTCTTCATTAGAGAAGTGTGTATTAATCTCAGACGCCCATATTTGGATTGGGTCTTTGAATTTGGGAGGCCTGATTTTTTTTAATTCTTTATATATCCTAGATAGAAGGCCTTTGTCTGAGGGGCAGTTGGCTAAAATTTTTTCCCACTTCGTGGGTTTTCTTTTTACTTTATTGGTGATTTCTTTAGATGTGCAAAAACTTTTCAATAATGAAAAGTAAATACTTTTTAAAGAAAAAAAAAAACCATTTGGCAACCCAAATGTGAGAATTGATTCAATAATTGTTTTAACATTTGAAACAGAAGAGAAATTATTTTCTAGACTTTTCTGTGTACAAAAAGAGAATACATCAAAGGAGGTAAAGACTGGTGATTGGAGATAAAGGAGGTAAACTCTTGGAGATTGCTGGACCAACCATTCCAGGCAAAGAAAAAGTAGGACTTGCTAGGCATAATTTTCTAGTTTGAGCTATTCCTCATTCCCCTTAAGTTATTCCTGGAAGGGGAGATCTCTACAAAGTCATTCCGGATATGAGTAATAAATAGGAACATGAACTCTAGAATATTACCATGGAGGACCTGGAAAATAATACATAGTAAAAACAGAACACTGTGAGGGTATTGTAAGGGACAAAAGTCCAGGGGTTTGGACTATAGAATCCAAGTCATGTTCAGGATACAGGGAAGTGGTGAATGCTCTTTCTGACTCTGGAAAGGACCACCTCAGGAATGGTACTTTCTACTTGGGAAAGCTGGCACCAGCAGGCTCAGGGACATCTTGAGGATGCTCAAACAGCAGCAGTAAGGCCCAGGTAGAACTGAGATACTTAAAATGTATCACTCCTGAGGAAGTGTGTCATCAAGGGAAAAGCAGCAGGATGACATTGACAGACTT